ATGCTGGGTTTTGGCACACTCTTTGCTGTATTTGTGGTTGTTGTTTCCTTGTTTGTTGTGTAACTGTTGCTTGGTGGTTTTGTATTATASGTTGTTGTGGATATTTTACTGGATGTTGTAGTGTTGTATATTATTGTTTGAAAGTTGTTGGATGTTGTAGCATTGTTTGTTATTGTGTGAAAGTTGCTGGGTGTTGAAGCACTGTTTGTATTTGTGTAAATTTTGCTAGGTGGTGTTGTATTATAAATGTTGCTGGTTCCTGCAGTATTGTATGTAGACGTGGGGATGCTGCTAAGTTGTGTTGCATTGTACACTGTTGTGCCATTGATGGTGGATGTTTTCACACTGTATGTTGTTTTTGAGGTTGTTGTTTCCTTGATAYTTGTGTAACCYTTGCRTGGTGGTTTTGTATTATATGTTGTTGTGTGCATTGTACTGGGTGTTGTAGTGTTGTATATTGTCTGATTATTGCTAGATATTGCAGCATTGTCCACTCCTGTAAAATAATTGCTGGATGTATTTTTACCATGAACTGTTGTGTAATTGTTGCTTGGTGTTGTTGTATTGTTTACTGTTGTGAGTTTGTGATCAAGTGTAGTCACATCATAATTGTTGTTTTGAGTTGATTCASRGTAAAGTCTTGTGGAATTAGAGTCAARAGATGGGATAGGTGTGATATGATTGCTTTTGTCTGTGGTTACATGGAGCACCTTTGTGGYACCGATGCTTTGTGATGTTACATTTTGTGTGTTTGTGTAATTTGGAGGAAACGTYGGAGCAGTACTAGCTGTGTTACCTGTGACTACATTGTTGTTAAGTGTTGTGTCTTTATTTTCTGATTTGTCACTATTTTCATCATCATGATAATTGTTAGTGGATGTTGGATGATTAGTGGCAGTTTTATTGTAAAGTGTTGTGTGACTAGGAGAGGGTGTGATTGTAGTTAACTTGTACTTTGGTGTTTCATTGGATGTAAACACACTTGGATTAGTTATCCTGTTTAGTATCGTGTGATTGCGAACTGTAATTGCTTCAGCGGTGGTCATGTTAAATCCTTTTGTGTGACTGGGAGGTGTGGTAGTTGTAGAGTTATTAACAATAGATGCACTGTTGTCTAGTTTCAGATTGCTGGTAACACTTGTAATGCTGTGCAAAGTTGAGTTGTTGTTCAGTGGTACTGTGCTTGTGTTTTCAGACAAAGTTTCTGTAGTTTTGTTAGGAACAGTCCCAGTAAATTGGTGCGAGCTTGTTTGTGGGACTGGCTGTTCTGTTATGATTTGTGTACTGGTTGAATGTATGTGTGTCACAGTTGGAAGCGAGTCTTCAGTTGTGTAGGTCCCAGATAGCCATGTAGAATCGGTGACACTGCTCGTCTGAGTGGTGGCGTGTGTTGGCAGTGAGGTTTGAGTCTTTGGAGAGCAGCTGTCAGCCAGSAGAACTGCAAAAGTTTTGTCAGTCTCGCTGTTTAAAACAACAAATGGAAAGTAGAAGACAGAATGTGTTAGAGCACAAATATAGGGATGAAAATATATTAAAATGTTTTGAACATGCATGTAAATCATAACAGTGTTAAATTTTTTTTTTTTAACTTTTGACTTTTTGGTCTCTGATTGTTCCCGGCACTCTGCCCTGGATGTCACCGGCTCTGCTGCATCCCTTCCCCACTTCCATATGCTTGTTCCCCCATCCCCCTCCTTTCCCCTGCTTAGCTGCTCCTGTCGCAGAGTAGTTTTTTGTGCGCATGCTCTTGTGTTTCTGCATAAAACACAGGATCAAAGCTCTTTTTTTAACTCATCCTTCCTACTATGTGTGTATTCTAAACTGCAAGGTGGTGCACAATGTTGCGAATGACTGTGGACATTCGTTCCCCCATGTTTGTTGTGTTTCTCCGGACGGATGTTCTAAACTGCTTTTTGTTCTGCCTTGCATCTTTGATGTTGTGTGTGAATGACAATAAAATGATTCTGATTCTGATTCTGAKTAACTTTTAAAAACATAAGCGGATGCAACAACTAAAGACAAGATATGTTTTAGAACAAAATAATTTATTTTCTACTAARTGTTGCACTAAAGTAATATTCTGTATTTACTACTTATCTACAGTAAATGTTAGGCTGTGATTTTAAAACCTGTAGAAGTTTTTTTATGTATTCATGTGTGACTCAATACCATTCAAACAGGACTGAGTCGGGCTGGCAAATGTCTGAGGGCAGCTTGTCAGAGTAAACCCAGGTTAKGTTGGATTCCATGAAGCTATAGACAGACAAACCAGGAGGCCCACACAGCACTGATGAAACAGAGAAAATGTCAACATCATCATTCAAAACATTTGCTCAGCTATTATGTATCAGACTATATTGTATATTGATGAAAAAGAATGCAAACTAACACATGCGAGCAAGTGGGCTGTAACTTGTGATGTATTTGTTCTCARTGATGATCTGGTGCACAAGGTTACTGAAGGAACTGTCGTTGATGGGTCCAGACATTTCCAGTACCACCATGCAGTTGTAAAACCTGGACACCAGCAGTAAAACAGGRTTTTTTCATTTCATACCATACAATACCAGACTCTGTTTCACTTCTGCCATCTGTGCTCATCAGTGTCTGCTTTGTTACATCTGGTCACAGTTAGTCATGATTTAAACATGTTTAAATTAATTATATTATATCAACGTGGAATGAACTCAGCCATATAAGCATATATTGAGATGTTTCCTGCTGTAGTGCTGCAAGTGTGACCACATGCACAAAGGCACGTTTTGGTTTGCTATAAGTTTCTTTTTATTCGTTTTACAAAGGTTAAGCCTAACTATGCTATTAAAAGTCATTTTTAAAGTTTGTAGAGATCTTCTCAAAAGCAACCATTTGTTGTTTCAATTGCCTTGACTCCAACTTTGGGAACTGCTGCRTTAGATAATATGCTCCTCTTGTTCTTTTGCTGTTGTTGCAGTTGGTAAAAATAGCTCAACATGTTGCTCACTTTTTATTGAGAGCTGTGACATATTTTCCATCAACTTCCCCAWACCCACACCTAATGTCTGTATTGTGATGGTTTGGTATAAATGCATGCATCATAATGCTTCTTGTAAATGCACATTTAAAAGCAAAATGGAAAAATAAWGAATATTTACCCTTCCTTTGTTCTGTCACATTTCAAATGAGCACCCTATAAAATAGAAAACATGGTTAATTAATTGTATGTCAGAGCAAGTGGTCAATTTTTCATGTTTTAATCTTTTTTTTGTTCTTTTTTTTATTTACCTTGTAATTATTAGAAAAATCTGAATAATTGCCGTACCTGCAAAATTATTAGCAGAAATTCATGTTGAGTGTCATTGTTTTGATGAGTCAAGCAGATTAGATTTCAACTTCAACAAACTGGTTGCCTTATTTATCTAACACTAACAGGTACAAATAMAATTTTCATCAATTTTATTGTAGTCTTTAGTGACTTACCCTGGCTGAGTCTGACACAAAGAAGGTTTTAATAACTGCCAAATAAAGTAGAACAGGATGTGTTTAGCAGATATTTGTTTTGATGTAGAGTGAAATCACAGTGGTCTGTACATACCAAGGCTTCTACGTCTTTAAGTTGAACCATCTCAGTAATGTTGACCCCTATGGCATAAAACTGACCTAGGGGAAATAAAATAAAATAAAATAAAAAGATTAATTATATGAAACAAATAAATACATTTGTGCAATAAGTACATATAGTATTTTCTCTTTAGTTTTGCTTACTTGCGGTATCACAGAAAGCAGAGCAGTCACAGAAGCGAGGCCCTGATGAACAGATGAACAAAGTTACCAACATCAGCTGTCATAATTAACTGTTGAAAGCAAAAAAAAAGGCATGCAATACATACGGGGGCAGAGGTTTGTCCTAGGGTGCGGTAATGGTTCAGAGTTAGAATCAAACAGAGAGCTGAAAAATAAAGGTAGTTTTTTTTTTTTAAGTATGGAGATCTACACAGTGTAATAAACAAAAGCAAGAGGGGATGCTGCTCACCATGACACCTCAGGGGTGCTGTTGGACTGACAAATATCATCCAAGGAAGAAGTGGATATGCATCTCACAAAGCTGCCTTTAGAGGGCAACAAGTCCGCACAGAGATTTTGACCTGTCACTGGCAAAAAAAAAAAAAAATGTTGTGAGAAATTATTGTCGGACAAAAGCCATTTTTACACAAATTACTGGTCACCCTTCCAGTGTCTGCTGTTTTGTAAATCATTGTTTTTTAAATAAAGTGTGCAATAAAAAAGCTTGWGACTTGACCACTAAACAATTATTTAACTGAAAAAAATGTATTTTCTGTCTTTTGTACAGTGCCCATGTAGGGACAAGACAAAAAAAATACAATTTTGTGGCCACACATTACTATCTTGCAGCCAAAAGATGTGGTCATGAGACAAATTTGAGCAGCCTTCTGTCTTTGTAAAAGATGCAGACATTTTTGGAGTCATGTTATATATGAATATGTTATATTATAGTTGTTGTTGCTGTTTTTGTTGTTTTTGTTGTTGTTGTTGTTCTTATTAATATTAATATTAATAATATTAATGTTAATGTTATCATATTGCTAAGTATTTATGAGATGAAAATGAATGATTTTGGTAAATGTAACATAACTCTGACCCCTTTCTTCAACAAAGGCTGTGATAGAGAAGCCTGTTCACAACCTCAGTTATAGCATACAATGCTAAGCATGACCTAATGCCTAATTGTAAGGGACGGAAGTGTGATATTCATTCCTATATTAAAATAAAATAAAATAGATTTGTACTTGTTTATGTAACCAATCAACAATCTTTGTCTGGAAATGACTGCAGAAATTAAAATTATTGTTTGTTTGTTTGTTTGTTTGTTTGTTTGTTTGTTTGTTTGTTTGTTTGTTTGTTTGTTTGTTTGTTTTTACCATGTCCTGTCCAGAAGTGTGAAACTCAGAATTAATATCTGAGTGCCAAGGTTAGGTCCAACAGTTACTTTCACAAGTGCAGCATTATGGCTTTCACCATGATGCTCCACTTGATATTTAAACTTTATTGGAAAMTATTTTGCCATTATTGTGTAAATTGTTGTATATTAAACTGTCAGGCAGTTGAGAGCATTCTTTTTCCTAGAAAAGCWCTCTTATTGCTCTCTGCTGAGAAACAGTAGCTTTCTGACTCAGTTGTCTTTCAGTGGAAATTTCATACTTTTGAWATTCTAGCTGATCTATAACTGAGTGCTCACCGACTCTCTCCACATTTCCTATGATTCTTGCTTGCATTACTCCTGCAGCTCTCTGCAGTGCAGATTCTCCGACACTCTGCAGTTCACACTCTGACACAGCATGGCTGAGCAGCAGCAATACACTGCAGGTTGTTTGCCTAAAAATAAAAAGTCCTCACATTTTAACAAGAGAATATAATACAGGCTAAGAACAAGTTATGAAAAAAAAACTCTGGACTTGTTTTTACCTTATATTCACAGCATTATTTCCTCTACATGACACCTCAAGAACCTGGAAGAACAAAGGACAGGATTGACACCCATTTCTTTGCAAGGAAAAATAAAATTGGTTCTTGAGAGTGGAACAGTTTTGCTGAAGCTTGTGGAAAAGACTGACCTGAAGTTGTCCATCAGCCTGACAGAAATCTTTAAAGGTCATTACTTCATGTACTGCACCGCTGCTGTCATTGTTACAGGCAAACATGTCTGATATCTGAGTGAAAAATGGAAAGACAGAAACTGATAAATACTGCTAATATTGATATTTGAATAAAACGTCTAATATGTTTAATGAAACTGAAGCAGAGTGGGAGATGTTTAGTTGTGTCTCTGAAACTGTGAACCATGGATGCAAAAATAATTGGTGATGAAAGTTAGAGGGTATAATATTTTATAATTCAGTGAACAACCTTTTTGTGTACAGCATAAATGACATGAAGTCGTGTTTGCAAATAATAATAATAATAAT